TACCCTTTCTAGTCATTGAATCTTATGAATTCTCTATCATTTTAGGTCTCCTCTGGCTACAAAAACACAATCCTCAAATCTCTTGGTCTAGCAAAGAAATCACATTTTGGTCAGATTATTGCCTTTCTAACTGCCTCACTTCACCAGAACTTAGGTCTATCACAACAGAGAGCACTGAACCCACTCACACTACTCATATTCCCCCTGAATATTCTGATTTGGTTGAAGTTTTCAGCAAAAAGAATGCAACTATACCTCCTCCTCATTGTCCTTATGATTGTTCCATTGATATCATAGAAGGTTCCTAAATCACACATGTACCCTTTAACTCAAGAATAAGAGAAAGCCATGGGGGAGTACATTAATGAGGCATTAGCACAAGATTTTATTTGCCCCTCCACATCACCAGTCACATCTGGATTTTCCTTCGGAAAAAGAAGGATGGCGGTCTTAGACCTTGTATTGATTATCATGCTCTCAACAATATTACCAAGCAATTCGCCAGTCCTCTGCCTTTAATTCCTATCACTCTAGAACAACTTTGTGGCACTCAGTATTTCACAAAATTAGACCTTCGCAGTGCATACAATTCGATACGTATTAAAGAAGGGAATGAGTGAAAGACTGCATTCATTAACACTAGGGGGCACTATGAGTACTTTGTCATGCCTTTCAGTTGGTCCAGAGCACCGCTGCCTGCTAGAGAATGATTTATTTGTCAAGGGAAAGAAGTGTGAATTTCACTTTAAGAGTCTCATTCCTAGGGTATATAATTAGCTCTCAGAGAGTCTTGATGGGCGACCAAAAGGATGAAGTCGTAATCAATTTGCCTACTCCCACTACTATAAAGGACCTACAGAGATTTTTAGGTTTTGCCAATTTCTATCGATGGTTCAATCAAAACTATAGTGCAAAAGCCCTCTCACAACACTTCTTAAGGGAGCGTCCAAAAAGTTTGGAACACAGCAGCAGAAACCACGTTTCCACGTTGCATGTTACCACATTGCACCACAAAACATTTGAATCCTAGACAAGCTAGATGGTCCCTGTTTTTCTCCCATTTTCAGTTCAGTTTTTCATACTGCCCAGGTTCCTGTAACTCTAAGGCAGATGCCCTGTCGAGAATTCACCAGAGCGACTTCAAGAAACAGATTCAGTCTGTACCCAAACTTATTTTTCCCATCTGTGCAAATAACCTCCATTTACTTGAAGGTTGATGATGAAATCAACAGAGCACTTGAATATGTTAACGTTTCTGACAACTGCCCACAGAATAAACTCTAAGTGCCAGATCAATTTCGTGATCTTTTGATTAACTGGGGTCATTTCTCTTTTGGCTCTGGTCATCTTGGTGAGTTCTGCATGCAGCAACTCTTATTAAACTGTTACTGGTGGGAAACACTAAAACAAGACATTCATAGATTTGTGTCATCTTGCTCTGTGTGTGCTCCAAGTAAAACACCTAAAACACTCCCAGCTGGCCTCCCTAAACTCCCTAATATGCTCTGCCACTTGTATGACACCTTTTCAGTGTATCCATGGTTATCAACCTCCTCTCACTCCCTGGACTGCTACCCCTTCAGACATCCCAGCCATCGATGACTGGATGAAACGCAGTGAGGGGGTCTGGGAAGAGTCTCACTGCAGCATTGAGGTGGCCCTGCAGCGTGTGAAGGAACAAGCAGACAGGCGTCAGGGGGGGACCCCCTCCTTTCAACTTGGAGACCGGATCTGACTTTTCACTCGGGACCATTTTGGGAAGTGTTGTTATAAGTTACAGCCGAAATACATCCGTCTGTTCCAGATTATTAAAAAAATTATGTCACTTACAGACTTGACCTACCAGCCCAATTTCGCATCTCACTTTCTTTTCATGTTTTTCTGCTTAAGCCTATGGTCCCAGTGCCCCTGGACATGGTGTTGCCTGATGGAGCTCCATCGGAACTGCTGGAGGTGGAGGGCACACCGTTTTACACTGTCCATCAGGTGCTAGACTCCTGGCGGCATGGAGGCACTCTCCAGTACCTCATCAACTGGGAGAGATACGAACCAGAGGAAAGAAGCTGGTTACCAGCTAAGGACGTCCTGGACCATGGGGTGATGGTGGATTTTCATACCAGCCATCCTGAGAAGCCAGCTCCCCGTCCTAGGGGATTTTCCTTGGAAAAACGTCTCTAGTTCCTGATCTGTCCGATCCATTAGCCCGGCTCCCGTCCGGCACCGGGACAGCTCCAGGGTTTCATCTTCCAACGCCTCCAGTTGGGTAGGTGTTCGTTGCGGGCTCCCTTGTTCCTCAGCCATCCTAGACTCCTTGGGGGGGGTGCTGTCACTCCTCCCTCTGGCCTGGCTGAAACTAGATTTTTGCCTTGCCCCTTTGCACAGTTTTAGTTTTTGACTTCTTGTTTCTGTTTATCGACAGAGATTTTGGATTCTCCCTTTGGCATTAAAGTTCTTAATTCAAGTCCATTATAGTGGGGTTCAATAAATGTGTATGTGTGTGTTAGCCATAGTTCAACCAGTCAGAAGTCATGAGAAGGGGCAGTGTGTGAAAGAGTTATTCTCAAGCCTGATGGCCTGTGGATAGAAACTGTTTGTCAGTCTTGTTGTCCTGGATCTCCTAATGCCCTAATGACCCTAATGTGGTAAATGTCCTGTAGTGAGGGGAAGGCTGCACCTGAGATGGACTGTGCAGTTCCGATGACATGCTGGAGAGTCTTCCTGTCCTGAACAGTGCAATTCCCATATAAGACTGTAATGGAGCTTGTAAGGAAACCCTTGATCATACACCTGTAGAAGTTGTTGAGAATTTTGGCTGGCACGCCAAATTTCCTCAGCCTTCTTAGAAAGACCAGGTGAGATCCTTACAGATATGAAAGTAAAGGAATTTAAAGTTTTCATCCTCTCCACCTCTGTCTCATTTATGTAAAGTGATGTGTGCAGCTCTCCCTCCTCCTTGGGTCAGCAATCATTTTCCTGGTCTTGTCTGCATTTATCGACAGATTGTCATGACACCAGGCTACCAAATCTGCCACCTCCCTCATGTATGCTGTTTCATTCCTACCAGTGATCAGTCCAATGACTATAGTATCATCAGCAAACTTGATGATGCTTGTGTTGTCTGGGAGGCCACAAAATCATACATGAAGAGTGCGCACAGCAGGAGGCTCAGCACACAGCCATGAGGGGACTGTGCTTACAGTTCTTGTGCTGGATGTGTGGTTGCCAACTCTGACTGGGATCTGTTTGTTAGAGAATTCAGCACCCAGTTACAAAGGGACAGTGTCGGCCTGAGAATGAAGAGCTTTTCAGAGAGTTTGTGTGGGTTGACTGTGTTGAATGCTGAGCTGTAGTCAATAAACAGCATTTTGTTATCGGTGTCCTTGCCCTCTAGGTGAATCAGGGCTGTATGAAAGTCAGTGCTGAGTGTGGTGTAAGTGGACCAATTTTGATTGTACACACACACACAGCATGAATCGAACTTCACACTTTAATCAGGGTTTTTAGTTGGGATATATCCTTCAGTGTTTTGTGGGAATTATATTCTCAGTGCATGTGCTAATGTTGCCAGTTACCCCAGAAGCATAGTCCTCTAAATCAACAGTAGAGTTCTCTCTCAAAGCAGCAGTTCTAAACACAGTTTGTGTTGCCCTGAAGCACCAGATTAGCTTCTCCATTCCATACATTGACAGTTTTGCTTACTGGGGGTGCTTGCTTTAGGAATTGTCTGTACAATGGATAAAGGAACACAGACATGTGGTCAGACTGTCCTAAGTGCTGCCAGGGCACAGCCTTGTAGGGTACTTGTCACGTTGCTGTAGACTTGGTCAAGAATGTTACTCAGCTTTGCCAAAAAGCTCACATGCTGAGGATACATGGGGAGGAAAGTCTATAGGTTGCAATGGTTGAAGTTGCCCACTAGGATTAACATGGCATCTGGTTGTACAGTCTCTTGTTTGCTGATCATGTTGTGCATGACCTGCACTGGGCTCTCTCAGTAGATAAAAAGTTCTGCATTTCACCAACAGCAGTTATATATCAGTTACACTATGTTTAATGGCAGTTTGTACACCACCTGTTCATGTAGACACAGATGCCACCACCCCTGTTCTTCCCTGAGGCTGATGTGTGGTCCCTGGATATAGTGCATTTGGAGCTGGACTTTTGAGTCTGGCTTGCTGTCTGAGAGCCAGGTCTCCAAGAAAATAAGAGCACAGCATTCTCTGATCTCACGCTAAGTTGTAATCCTAGTTCTCAGCTTATCCAGCTTGTTTTTGAGGGAGCAAACATTAGCTATTAGCAGTCGCATAGCCCTAGGGTTTAGCCTAGCATGTAGTATGTGATGTGACTTCTCTTTCCAGGCTTCCGCTTTGGCCACTCTCTCTGCCAGCTGCGCCGCTCACCCAAGGCCGGTGCTACTGGGCCTTGCCAGTTGGAGTCAGTGTAGTCCGAATGTAGAAGAAAGTTGAAGTCAGAAAGGCTTAGGGTACGTTCGTGGTGAACTTCACCAATATCCAGGAGTGACTCTCAACTTTATCTTACTATTACATAGGTAAACTGTACATTAAAGATAAATACTAAAACTAAAATTAAAAAAATAGCGTTCGTGTTGTAAGGACGATGCAAAGACATCTGCCATGGTGAGCACCACCTCATGTGTGCAGCTAAGATTCCCATCATACACTTTAAGTGAAAATTAAACATGTCTCAATAATGCATCAGTCCCCCCCATTAAACATTACTAAACATCAATAAGGTCAAAAGTTCAAAACATTTAATATATCTGATGCAATTATCTAATTACTTAACATTAGCTAACCACTATTAATATATTACCTCGTGTTTTTTTATACTCTTTCTCTATCTCTCTTTCTCTCACACATACACTCTTACACACAGTACTGAAAGTAAAAGAGCTGAGAGTTTCCAGATGTAATATAAATAACTCACTGTAGTTTCTCCAGTTTACAGTGTCGGTCCTTCAGTAGATGAAAGAGCTCCTTCACTCCTAAATCCCCTGGTTTATTGCTGCTCAGATCCAGCTCTCTCAGGTGTGATGAGGGGTTTAATTTCAGAGCATTAACTAGAGTAGCCCAGCCTTCTTCTGTAATACTGCATTCATACAGGCTGCAAAGAGAAGAAGAAAAACTCATCACACTTGCAGCTGAATACACACACACAAACACACGCAGAGCACAAAGCAATACAGAACCAGGTCAGCTCATATGAAAAAGGTCTCTGAGAAATTTTTAGTCATACATCTAACAAAAGAGATATGAGTCCACTTTATCAGTGTTTCAGGCAACACTGGCTTCACCATATGCACATTTTTTTATCTGTGAAATGCTTTTTTAAAGCTTCAAGTAAGTTTCTTTTATTTGCATGCAAATACAGTGTAACCTCCTTTGAAATGCACTGAAATTGAACTTTCCCACTGTTGAGAGCATTAAAATGTATATTAACACTTAATCTATGCATAATAATTTGGTGTCGTCACAGTATACAGAGGCAGCTGTTTTTTTCCTGTATAAAGGCTCTTTCTGTGGGCCAGCAGTGTGGCTCTTAAATAAATGTTAATCACTCATACTGATTTGTCACATGAACACTGTACAGACTAAAATAAGATTGTTGTGACCTGTTATAATGAAGCTGTAAGTTTTAAACTTTATTGATATTTCAAACCCCATTTCTAAAAAAGTTGGGATGCTGTGAAAAATGTAAATAAAAACAAAATGCAATGCTTTGAAGACAACATATAAAATGTTGAAACTAAGAAATTTTATTGTTTTTTGAAAAATATATGCCCATTTTGAATTTGATGCCAGCAACAAGTTCCAAAAAAGATGGGACGAGGGCAACAAAAGCCTGGTAAAGTTGTGTAATGCTTAAAAAAAACAATAGGTGGTTAATTGGCAACAGGTCAGTAACATGATTTGGTATAAAATGAACATCTCAGAGAGGCTGAGTCTTTCAGAAGTAAAGATGAGAAGGGGTTCACCACTCTGTGAAAAACTGCACAATCAAATAGTACAGCAATTCAAGAATAACATTTCTTAATGTAAAAACAGCAAAGAACATTTTTGCTTTTTATCTACATAATAACATTACAAGATTCAGAGAATCTGGAGAAATCTCTGTACACAAGGGACAAGGCCAAGAACCAGTATTTGCTGGCCATGATCTTTGGGCCCTCAGATGGCACTGCATTAAAAACAGACATGAACTGGAAATCACTGCATGGGCTCAGAAACACTTCTGAAAACCACTGTCTATGAAAACAGTTTGTCGCTGCATCCACAAATACAAATTAAAGCTCTCAGATGCAAAGAAGAAAACATATATAAAAAGGATCCAGAAATGCTGCTACCTTCTCTGGGCCTGAGCTCATTTAAAATGGACTGAGGGGAAGGGGAAAAGTGTGCTGTGGTTGGATGGATCAACATTTCAATTTCTTTTTGGAAATCATGGCCACGTGCATTAGTGACTGGCACTTCCGCGAAGGCACCATTAATGCTGAAACATATATGTACCATTTTCAGGGAAGGCCTTGATAATTTCGGCGAGACAATGTCAAATCATACCCTGCATGTATTACAACAGCATTGCTCTGAATTAAGAGTCTCGGTGATAAACTGACCTGCCTGCGGTCCAGACCTGTCACCACTGAAAACATTTGGCACATTATAAAATGAAAAATATGACAAAGGAGACCTGTTGAGCAGCTGAAATCCTATGTTGGGCAAAAAATGGGAAAACATTTCACTTTTAGGACAACAGCAGTGTCTCCTCAGTTCCCAAACGCTTACAGAGTGTTGTTAAAAAAAGAGATGTTGAAACTCAGTGGTAAACATGCCCCCATCCTGACTTTTTTGGAACGTGTTGTTGGCATCAAATTCAAAATGGGCTCATATTTTTCAAAAACACTAACATTTCTCAGTTTCAACATTTGATATGTTGTCTTTGTTTTGTTTTTAATTGAATATATGGTTTAATTGATTTGCACATCATTGAATTTTGTTTTTTATTTATATTTTGCACAGCATCCCAACTTTTTTAGAAATGGGGTTGTGTGTGTGTGTGTGTGTGTGTGTGTGTGTATATATATATATATATATATATATATATATATATATATACACACACACACACACACACACACACACACACACACAACCCCATTTCTAAAAAAGTTGGGATGCTGTGCAAAATATAAATAAATAAAATATAAATAAAATATATAATATATATATAATAATATATAGCTGTTTTTTTTTAAAATTGAGCCTATTGAATTTGCAGCTGCTAACTGCTGGCATAAACACAGTAAAGAGTAGAAAATACCACTTATTACTGCCAGCTTAGTTACTGCTGCAGAGATATGATTAATAGAGAGTAATGTTTAATCACGACAAAAGTAAATAATATTGACATGTCATGGTTGGTCGGTTTATGAAGACTTGTATTTCAGCATCTTCTTGTTTGTACCCACAGAGTGCCTCCATGTCAAAGCTGATTGGTATGACAATTGAGTAACATTTGTTTATGATTTATTGAATTCAGATGCAAAACAATTCCTATTACTTTGAATGATACAAAGCAGTATGTTTTTTTCTGCAATTATACCTTCTATTTTATGAGTTGATGTTAATTTGTTGGATGAAAAATTTGATAGTAGAATAGTTAGTTTGGATGTCAAAGAGAAAGTTCTGGGGAACTTTAATTCATGCTTTGTAAGAGATAATATGTCAGTTCCTTTAAGGTGGAAGTACTTTTCCTTTTATATATCTTATCGTATTGCTCCTAAAGTTAAAGAAACCCATTTTAAAATAGTATCAGCAATATGCTGTGTTAGTGATTTTTTTTTGCATAGAAAATATTTAAATTTGAAGTGGATCCTTGCATCTTTTGTGCTATAGAGGCTGAAACTATTGACTATCTATTTTTTAAAAATGATCATATGTTCATTTGTTTTAGTCTGATATTCATACTTGGATGAGTTCAGAATTTAAAATGCAGATAAAAAAACATTCAGATTTAGTTTTTTTCCATTCAGAATAGGAATGCCATGAATCTAACTCCACGGGTACATTCTGTGGTTGGTCGTTTTGCCTGCCCATTTCCTGTTAAAGTAGGCAGTTCTTGTACATCAAAATGTACCTAACTCTCTGGAGATCTGTAATCTATCTTTCAGAGTAGCCTCACATGACTTGCAACTGACAGTTAAATGTGTTTTATAGTGAATTCTCAAATAGTGAATTCTGTTTTGTATGTATATGTAGCACGGCATGTGCTACCCCGGGCTCAAGGAGGACGCTGGAGGCAGGGTTCACAGTTGCAGCAGCCATCTCTTTAATCACTCAAAACAACCCAAACAGACAAACCAAATAATACACTACAAGACGCCACCAGAACCTAGGCTGGCCACTTTTTTTTAGTGGCTTCAGTCCGCTAGACTTTCCAGTCCTTTGTCCTCAATAAGGAGCTTTCCAGCTCCTCAGTCTCTTGTTGCTGCTGCGTGTCCCTCTCTCTCTCTCTCTGTGTTCCCTCTCAGCTCTTTTAAAAGGCACCTGAGCCGAGAGGGAACGAGAGCTCGCTGCTCCGCCTCCTCGTCACCGCCCCCAGCTGGCGGCTCAGCCACCCGGGTTGAAGGTGAGGTGTAGTGGAGCAGCCTTGCTGCGTAACAGGGGGCGGGGCCCAGGCGGCAGAGCTCGGGACTCGCTCCTTCCCCTGGTGCCTCTCGTTACCGGCACCGTCGTCGTCTTCCTCCTCCCGCCGTCACTCGCGCCACTCTGAAATACTCGGGCTTTTCGCTCCGCCCCCTCCACGCTCGCGGCTCTCTTCCTGCCGTCCTGGCCGAGGTTCGTCGCCGCTGGGTGTTCGCGGCCGTCATCATCGGGGCCCGGGGTGCGGGCGCATGCCACACCCTGGTGCCTCTCGTTACCGGCACCATCGTCATCCTCCTCCTCCTACCGCCGTCACTCGGGTCACTCGGCAGAGCTCTGGCTTTGCACTCCGCCCCCTCCACACTCTCTCTCCCTGCCGTCCTGGCCGAGGTTGGTCGCCGCTGGGTGCTCAGGCGCATGCCACATACCCCCACCACCCAACTCAGGCCGGGAACTGGACTGAGCCATCACACCCCCCCCCGGGGGAAGACCCAGCACAGGGCGGGAGGGTGGGAGAACCCTGGGCCTCCGTGACTTCTCCGGCGGCAGGCGGGGCCTCCGCAACTTCTCCGGTGGCAGGCGGGGCCTCCGCGATGGGAGGGGAGAGACGGTGAGCTCCGAGTGCTCTCGGAGCAGGGACGGGAGGGGAGAGATGGTGAGCTCCGAGCACCCTCGGAGCAGGAAGGGGAGAGGGGAGAAGGTGAGCTCCGAGCACCCTCGGAGCAGGAAGGGGGGGAGGGGGGAAAAGGTGAGCTCCGAGCACCCTCGGAGCAGGAAGGGGAGGTGGGAGAAGGACTCCAGTCCTCCTGGGAGCTGGGACTGGAGGCTCGAGGGGTGGTGAGAGGAGGGCTCCTGCCCCCACGCACACCGAGGGTTGCCGCTCCGCCAGCAGGCTCCTGACCATCTGACGGGTTGCCACCTGCTGCTCCTCAAGCTGCTTCCAGTGCTTTTCAGCATTCTGGAAGACAGCCTGCAGCTCCCGCCAGCCGGCAAGGTGCAGGTGTACCAAGGTCTTGATGGCCTCCTCTTCTGCCGCGGAGACTCCCTCAGTGTGTTGGCGTCCTCCTCCTGGGTTTCGGCACCACTGTAGCACGGCATGTCCTACCCCGGGCTCAAGGAGGACGCTGGAGGCAGGGTTCACAGTTGCAGCAGCCATCTCTTTAATCACTCAAAACAACCCAAACAGACAAACCAAACAATACACTACAAGATGCCACCAGAACCTAGGCTGGCCACTTTTCAGTGGCTTCAGTCCGCTAGACTTTCCAGTCCTGAGAGGGAACGAGAGCTCGCTGCTCCGCCTCCTCGTCACGGCCCCCAGCTGGCGGCTCAGCCGCCCGGGTTGAAGGTGAGGTGTAGTGGAGCGGCCTCGCTGCGTAACAGGGGGCGGGGCCCAGGCGGCGGAGCTCGGGACTTGCTTCTTCCCCTGCTGCCTCTCATTACCGGCACCGTCGTCGTCTTCCTCCTCCCGCCGTCACTCGCGCCACTCTGAAATACTCGGGCTTTTCGCTCCGCCCCCTCCACGCTCACGGCTCTCTTCCTGCCGTCCTGGCCGAGGTTCGTCGCCGCTGGGTGTTCGGGCCCCGCCTTCCTGCCGACTCTCACGGCCATCATCGTCGGGGCCCGGGGTGCGGGCACATGCCACACCCTGGTGCCTCTCGTTACCGGCACCATCGTCGTCCTCCTCCTCCTACCGCCGTCACTCGGGTCACTCGGCGGAGCTCTGGCTTTGCGCTCCGCCCCCTCCACACTCTCTCTCCCTGCCGTCCTGGCCGAGGTTGGTCGCCACTGGGTGTTCGGGCCCCGCCTTCCTGCCGATTCTCGCGGCCATCATCGTCGGGGCCCGGGGGGCGGGCGCATGCCACAGTATAATATTTCCACATTAAGCACTTTACAACTTTACAGCTGCCTACAGTGATGGCCAGTGGATATTAATTGACTAGTGCACTAGTCACTGCAACCCCTATCACATACATACTTCCCCTCTCTGTCTCTCTCTTTCACACACAGTCACACAGTACTGAAAGTAAAAGAGCTGAGGGTTTCCAGATGTAATGTGAGTAACTCACTGTAGTTTCTCCAGTTTACAGTGTGGATCCTCCAGTAGATCAGAGAGCTCCATCAATCCTGAATCTCCTGGTTTATTCCAGCTCAGATCCAGCTCTCTCAGGTGTGATGAGGGGTTTGATTTCAGAGCTTTAACCAGATCAGCACAGCCATCATTTGTAATACTGCAGAATCCCAGCCTGCAAAGAGAACAAGGAAAACTCCTCACACTTACAGCTCTACACACAGATGATACACAATAAAGTAAAACACAGATTTAACACCCACACATTCAGTGTTTAGGTTCACACTGGCTTCACTTGATGCATTTTTCATCCATGAAAAATGGGCCCTTTATAACTTTTAGTTTGCATCAATACTATTTCTTTCTCATGCCCTTGGAAAGTGTAACTTCCATTGAAATGCACTGAAATAACAATCACACTTTTCATAGTATTGCAGCATACATTAAAAATAAATCTACAGTTGCAAGAAGAAAATCAGGAAACCCATTTGCAATTACCTGGATTTCTGCATTATTAGAAAAATGTGGTCTGATCATGATCTAAGTCACAATTAAAGACAAACACAGTCTAATAAAACTAATAACTCAAACAGTTGAATTCTCATGTGTATTATTGAGCACATTGGGTAAACATCCATAGTGCAGGCTAGAAAAAGTAGGTGTACCCTTGAATTTAATAATCTGTAGATCCATCTTGAGCAGCAATCACTTCCACCAAATGTTTCTTGTAGCTGCAAATAAGATTTACACCATGTTGAGGAGGAATTTTGGACCATTCCTTTCTGCAAATGTATTTCAGTTCATCAATATTTCTGAGACACTTTGCTTGCACAGCCCACTTCAGGTCATACCACAGCTTCTCAATAGGGTTAGGACTTTGACATAGCCATTGCAAAAACAACTCTTCTTCAACCATTCTTTAGTTGATTTACTTGTTTGCATTGGGTCATTGTTTTGTTACATTACCCAACATCTCGTCAGCTTGAGGTCACAGACTGCTACCCTTATGTTCTACTGTAAAATGTTTTGATACACCTTTGAATTCATTGTTCCCTGAATATTTGTATGGCATTTTGGCCCTGAGGCAACAAAGCAACCCCAAACCATGATGCCCTCTCCACCATGTTTCACAGTTGTTATGAGGTTTTGGTGCTGGTGTGCAGTGTCCTTTTCCCTCCAAACATAGTGTTGTGCATCTGTGCAAAATGTTCCACTTTTGTCTCATTTTTCAATAGAACATTTTCCCAGAAGCACTGTGGAACATCCAGACAGTCTTTGGCAAACTTGAGATGGGCTTCAATGTTTATAATATTTTTTCTTGGAAAGCAGCGGCTTTCTTCATGGTGTCCTTCCATGAATAGCATTCCTGTTCAGGGTTTTTGTAATACTAGACACATGAACAAAGGTTTTTGCAGTTTGTAGTCTCCTGTAGGAAAGACTTCTTGATTAGCTTTCTTGATAAGCACAGATTTGGGTGCTGCTTTTATTTAATGGGCAAAGCACCCATGAAACCCACACTTCCAATCTCATCTCCTAAACTGAAAAACCTTTTGCTGATTAGCTCTTGGAGAAGTCATTAACATAGAGGTTCCCTGACTTTTTCTAGCCTGTGTTGTGGTTGTTTACTTACTTACTTATGTGGTCAATAAAAGACATGAAAAGTACAAAATTTTGTGTGTTATTAGTTTAGTTGGATTGTGTTCTGGCTTGGATAACCATCAGACCACATTTTATTAGTAACCAATGCAGAAATCCAGGTAATTACAAAGAGTTCACTTACATTGTTTGTAACATTTTTGTGTATACAATACAAAACAATATTTTGATCTTGTTGGCATTGCAACACTGTATGGAGGAAGCTGTTTTTTTATCTGATATCAACAGTGACTTGTGATTTTAATTTTGTTGCAGTACTCAACTCCTGTTTGTGTCACCTTTAAACGTGCAATAAAACTGTTTAAATAGAGAAGAATAGTAAAATAATAACTGACTTTGTATCTCAATGATAAATACATTTACATACATTGTGTTCTTACCCCTCAGTGTCTTTAAACCTCTCCTCAGGGAAGCCCAGTGTTAAAGTGTCAAACACAAGACAAAGCACAATGGGCCTCATTTATCAACCATTCTTACTAAGACATTTCTTCTTAAAACACACTTATGCAGTTCTATGGAGATTCTGACATTCACCAGTGTTGTCTTATTTGGGATTTGTTCTTAGGTAAGAACAGAATCTACGAACACTCAAGAGCACAAAGGTAAGAACAATTCTGTGGTTTAAGAACGCGTCATACATCTGACAGACTTTTTTTGGACCTTCTTTAGAACAAATTTAAGAAAAAAGTTGCACAGGGGTGTTCGTTTTTTTTTTCAGAGCTATAAAACATTTCACATTGGTCTGACAGGATGTTGAAACTCACTGTAGTTTCTGCAGTTTACAGTGTGGATCCTCCAGTAGATCAGAGAGCTGCTTCACTGCTGAATCTCCTGGTTTATTCCAATTCAGATGCAGCTCTCTCATGTGTGAGGGGTTTAATTTCAGAGCTTTCACCAGATCAGCACAGCCGTCATCTGTAATATAGCAGCCAGACAGTCTGCGGAAAGAAGAAAACCTCCTCACACTTACAGCTCAACATACAGGCTTTAATCTCACAGTATGAATCAGTTCCAAACTTGTTCTGTGTTTCACTTCCTGCTGTGGGTGTTTGCACTCATGTCAAAGTAGAAAATACATAAAATTGCCCCAGACACATATTTATACTTGATCTTCATAAGACTCATTAAATATTGAAACCCTTAAGTTTAACAGTGTGAATCCTGACAGTGATCATAGTATAAATTTGTGACTTAGTTTTTAACAGATCTCTAGTTCGGAAGTGCATAAGGCTCTTAAAGAAATAAATCAGCAGTACCTGATACTTTAGATCCACTGCTTTTTAAGCTAGTGGCTTATGTTATTGCAGCACCTTTAGCTTATATTTTTAATCTTTCCTTAGCTACACATGAAATGCGATTGATCTGAAAATCTTCTTTTGTTGTTTAGCTATGAAAAGGAGAAGATACTACAGTGTTGAATAATTATAGAACTATTTCTAACCTTTCAGTGTGAGTTAAAAGATCTCTCACTGGCCATATAATAGACCCCTTTATCTCTTCCTCAGCTTAGCACTGAGCAGGCTTACGATGAGTAAAAACAACAGACAAAAACTAGAAAGGGAAAGTTTGTGAACGAACCTTAAGTTGGCTTGAAAAAGCCAGCTATTACGTCAAAACGTTAAAATGGTTGAAGACTGTTAATAATTGTTAAAAATTTACCAAATTGTTGTTAAGCAGAAGCTGCAGTATCCATGTTCCACCTTAAATTTGGTGCCACCTTAAAAAGAGGTCCCCCGTAAAATTCTGTGCCACCTTAAATTTAGTGCTATTGGTAAATGCAGTCCCACCTTAAATTTAGTGCCACCTTCAAAAGAGTTCCACCTTAAATTCTGTGCCACCTTAAATTTAGTGCTATTGGTAAATGCAGTCCCACCTTAAATTTAGTGCCACCTTCAAAAGAGTTCCACCTTAAATTCTATGCCACCTTAAATGTGGTGTTAAATTCACTGTCACCTTAAATTTAGTGCTAACCTAAATGCAGCTCCACCTTAAAACAAGTTCCACCTTAAATTCTGTGCCACCTTAATTTTAGTGCTGCCTTAAAGAGTTCCATCTTAAATTCTGTGCCACCTTAAGTTCATTGCAGTGTTAATTTAAGTCCCACTTTAAATTTTGTGCCAGCTTAATTTTAGTTTTACCTTAAAGAGAGTTCCACCTTAAGTTCTGTGGCACCTTAAATTTAGTGCGATGTCAATTGCATTGCCACCTTGAAAGAAGTTCCACCTTCAATTCTGTGCCATCTTAATTTTAGTGCTACCTTAAAGAGAATTCCACCTTAAATTCTGTGCCTCCTTAAAGTTAGTGCTATGTCAATTGAAGTTCCACCTTAAATTCAGTGCTAACTTAAATGCAGTTCCTCCTTAATTTCAGTGTCAGTGTAAACTCAGTGCTACCTTAAAAGAAGTTAAAATGGTTAAAATGGTTAAAGTTAAAATGGTTGAAGATTGTTGATAGCTGTTAAAATACTGCCAAAATGTTCCTAAGCAGAAGCTGCAGTATCCGTGGTGGATGGTAATTCTTTGGTAGTTGGTACTGTGAATGAAGTTCCACCTTAAAATTTGTGCCAACTTAATTTTAGTGTTATGTTTATTGCAGTTCAATCTTAATTTCTGTGCCACCTTAAATTTGGTGCTATGTTAATTGCAGTGGCACCTTAAAACAAGTTCCACCTTAAATTCTGTGCCACCTTAATTTTTGTGCTATGTTAATTTAAGTTCAACCTTAAATTCTGTGCCACCCTAATTTTAGTGCTACCTTAAAGAGTTCCACCTTAAATTCTGTGCCACCTTAAATTAATTGCAATGTTAATTGAACTCCCATCTTAAATTTTGTGCCAGCTTAATTTTAGTTTTACCTTAAAGAGAGTTCCACCTTAAGTTCTGTGGCACCTTAAATTTTGTGTTATGTTAATTGCAGAGTCACCTTGAAATAAGTTCCACCTTAAATTCTGTGCAATCTTACTTTTAGTGCTACCTTAAAGAGAAGTCCACAATAAATTCTGTGCCTCCTTAAATTTAGTGCTATGTTAATTGAAGTTCCACCCTAAATTCAGTGCTAACTTAAATGGAGTTCCACCATAATTTCAGTGTCAGTGTACACTCAGTGCTACCTTAAAAGAAGTTCCACCTTAAAATTAATGCTATTTTAATTGAAGTTCTACCTTAAATTCTGTGCCATCTTAAATGTAGTGCTACGTTAATTGAAGTTCTACATTAAATTCTGTTTTTGCTTAAATTTACAGCTATGTTAATAGCAGGTCCACCTTAAATTTAATGCTATGTTTATTCAAATCCCACCTTAAGTTCTATGCCACCTTAATTTTAGTACTATGTTAATTAAAGTTCCACATTAAATTCTGTTCCACCTTAAATTTAGTGATATGTTAATAGCAGTTCCACCTTAAACTTAATACTATGTTAATTTAAGTTCCACCTTAAATTCTGTGCCATCTTAAATTTAAATTTAAATTTTTATTATGCTAATTGAGGTTCCACCTTAAATTCAGTGCTACCTGAGTGCAATTGCACCTTAAAAGCAGTTCCACCCTATAAAATTCATTATGTGTGCTGACACTGCTGAGCATTAGGCTGTGAGCATGTGAGACATTGGGCTCCGTGCGTGAGTTTGTATGTGTGTGTGAGAGAGGGGCCCATTGTGACATCATATGTGGCATTCTGCCAACATTCCGCCCATTCATTCCCTATGGGAAAAAATATCGACTTTTAACATTAATTTTCTGGATTCCTTAAAAAAGCACAAGCACACCCCGTGGGTATAGGTCCTACGATCCTGCAAAGTTTTGTGGTTCTAGCTCAAAAACTAATAGCGGGTCAGTATGGCTGTGGATTAAAGCTTGGAGCGGTGCTCTGAGTGAGGACTTGCATTTCAGTGGGTGTTGGGCAAAGAAGTAATAGAGCTTGAGTGGTGGCAAAAATGAATGGGACTCAATGGGAGGAACGAGGGATGAAAAACGACAAATAGAGGAATGCGGCTCAGTATGGCTGTGGATAAGATTTTGGAGCGGTGCCCTGAGTGAATACATGTATCTCGGTGGCTGTCAGGCAAAGAAGTAATACAGTTTGAGTGGTGGCAAAAAATAATGAAACTCTATGGGAGGAACGAGGGATGAAAAAACGACAAATAGAGGAGTGCGGGTCAGTATGGGTGTGGATTAGAGCTTGGGGACCTGCCCTGAATGAGTACATGCATTTTGGTGACTGGCGGGCAAAGAAGTAATAGAATTTGAGTGGTGGCGAAAATGTATAGGACTCAATGAGAGGAACGAGGGATGAAAAAATGACACAAAGAGGAGTGCGGGTCAGTATGGCGGTGGATTAGTTCTTGTGCTAGCTAAGTGCAATTCCACCTTAAACGTAGTTCCACCTTAAAAAAATCATTATGCACGCTGACACTGCTGAGCATTAGGCTGAGAGCATGTGAGACAGTGGGCTCTGTGCGTGAGTTTATATGGGTTTGTGAGTTAAGGGCCCATTGTGACATCATGTCCTGCATGCTGCCCAGAGTCTGCTCAATGTAAGTCTATGAGAGAAACGAAGGATGGAATAAAACGACAGACGGATGAGTGCGGGTCAGAACGACAGTGAATTCATGCTTGGGAGCCTGAATTCACAGGGCTATGTTTTGTGTGAAAATGAATAGGACCCTATGGGAGGGACGAGGGATGAAAAAATGACAAATGGAGAAGTGCGGGTAAGTATGACTTTGGATTCGATCTCTTGGACCTGCCCTGAGTTAGTACATGCAGTTTGGTGTGTGTTGGTCAGAGGAAAAACCTGGGCTGGGGTTTGGGTGCGCTTGCGGATCTGCTCTAAGTAAGCACATGTAGTTATGTGGCTGTCAGGAAGAAGACAGATTGAGGCTTTGTTGGGGTAGAAAATGAATGGAACTCTGTGGAAAAAACGAGGGATGAAAAAATGACGCAGAGAGGAGTGCGGGTCAGGATGTCTGTGGAATAGAGTTTGGGGAACTGCAGTGAGTGAGGAGATGTACTTTGGTGGCTGTCGGTCAAAGAAGTAATACAGTTTGAGTGGTGGCACAAATGAATGAGACTCTATGGGAGGAACGAGAGATGAAAAAATTATAAATAGAGAAGTGCGGGTCAGTATGGCTATGGATTAGAGATTGGGGATGTGCCCTGAGTGAGTACATGCATTTTGGTGGCTGTCGGGCAAAGAAGTAATACAGTTTAAGTGGTGGCGACAATGAATGAGACTCAGTGAGACGAACAAGGGATGAAAAATAACAGAAAGAGGAGTGCAGGTCAGAATGACTTTGGATTGGAGCTTGGGGACCTGCCTTGAGTGAGTACATATAGTTTGTTTGTCGTCGGGTAAAGAAGCAATAGAGTTTGAGTGGTGGCGAAAATGAATGGGACTCTAAGGGAGAAACCGTGGATGGAATAAAATGACAAATAGATGGGTGCGGGTCAGTATGGCGGTGGATTAGAACTTGGAAATGTGCCCTGAGTGAGTATTGCATTTTGGTGGCTGTCAGGCAAAGAAGTAATAGAGTTTGAGTGGTGGCAAAAATAAATGAGACTCCATGGGAGAAACGAGAGATGGAATAAAACGACAAATGGATGAGTGCAGGTCAGTACAACAGTGAATTCATGCTTGGAGGCCTGCCTTAAGATAGTAGTATGTGAAATGATGTGTGTGTGGTGTGGGGTGTGTAGAGTGTGTTGTGTGCTTATTGTGTGTGGTGTGTTGAGTGTGTGCTGTGTTTATTGTGTGTGTTGTGGGCTGTGTTGAGTGTGTATGGTGTGGGTGCGTTGAGTATGTGTGGTTTGTTAGGTGTGTTGAGTATGTGCTGTGTGTTAATTGTGTGTGTGTGTATGGGTGTGTGCGGGTCTGTTGAGTGTGTGATGTGGGGTGTTTAGTGTGTGTTGTGTTTTTTGTGTGTGGTGTGGGATGTGTTG